ACATTGTACAAAAAAGTGCTCACAATGTAAGTCATAATAATGCTCCATAAACATTACAATTCAAAAAATTTTCTTGTAAAGCTTTAAAAAAGCACATCTAACTTACTAGCGACGTGTAAAATACTCACTGAGTCAGCCTCCTCCACTTCACACAGCAGCTTCTCGGTGGTGGGATTATACACAGGAATCTTTCTGCCACTGCATGACTCATGCCACTCGTTACCGATGAACACCTGATGGTGAAAGAGAGACAAAGATTGTGTGATGTATCCCCCTCACTCTTTGACAGTGTAGGGTATCATCTCTGAATGCTGTTCCAGGTAATTACTGTATCCCAACTGATAAAGGACTGGTAAATATTTCCTATATTCAAATTATTTCATCTTATAAATATGCTTTGCTTCTTGGCTTGCAGCTTACCTTAGTGTAAACAATTTGGGGATTTGCAATTGGAGTGGGCAGTGCATTTGTCTCCAATCCATCTGCATTCTGGGAATTGTGGTCCTGGTGGTTGAACCCATTGCCAGACTGATGTTCATAACCATTGGCTGGCTGGGAGCTCAAGCTGTAATTTTTTCTCTCTGAAAAAACCAAAAAACAGAAATGGAACACAATGTTGTTCAAGTCTCTTTGTCTGATTAGGTGTGTGAATACACAGATAGATACACACACACGTGATTGCGAAAGCTAACATTTGGGTCACTAAGTGAGGATAGTAACCCTGTGCACACGATGCTATCCCAACCCAGTGGAGTAAATAGAAACTGTGCCAAATTAGTTATTGGCATTGTCAGCTTTTTTTAAACCGGACGGTCAAGGGTCATGACCACGCACTGGCATGGTTTGCTGGCTCAGAAGAATGGACTAGACCTTAATTAAACTGAGAGAATCTGAGAACATCAAGTGCTGTGCCAGGGCAAAATATGAGCAGAGGTGCATTTCACTGTAATTGCTGAAAACCCGATCATGCATGGGCTCATATGGAAGAAACAAGTTAAATTAAGGCATTGTGGATTTCTGTGTCAGATAAAAGACAGTTTGAATATGTTACTATATCACTTGTATACTTTTGTAGAGAAGCCAGACAATAGATTATGTATACATAACTATGTGTCGATATAGCACTTATAAACTTTTAAATCTGGGAAATTAAGCCTATTACTTTTAAACATTTATGTCTATCACCTGACAGTCTTAGCTTCAATCTTATAAACAATATTAGGATCAGTTTTTTTGAATAATAATAATAATAATTATTATTATTATTATTATTATTATTTATTATTATTATAAAAGCACTCTTATCTGGTCTTTTAACAAACATTAGAAAATGGTTGTGGAATTACATTACGTAAACATAAAAAATTGTGCTACCTGTGGGTGATGCTGATGCAGTTTCCCCCGACTGGTGTATTCCCACTCCGATCACAGGCATGTTGCAGCTGCTCTCTCCTTCCTCTCGGTGTCAGCTGACCGGAGAGTCTCCGAGCTTCTTTATATACTTTCAGCTCTCAGCGTCAGAAAGCAGAAATGTGCAGGATTGCGCGCTGTCACAGAAGGATTTCTCCTGGGTCATTTGAGGGTCTGCCTGCACGTGCAAATAACCATTAAGATGGACCCAATCCCAGTTTACCTCATGTGTCCCGGGAGGCGGCAAGCTCACTAATCATCTGACGTGACAATGGAAGTACAGTATGGTTAGACACATTTTTAATTATTAGCCATTTTTGTAATCAGCGGGATTCACCTCCAAGTCAACAAGCATAATTGGGAAGATGTTTGCTTTGATAAGGGGCCTCCTGCTGCTTCACTGTCTCCCAGGAACAATGTGATCACATAATTTTGTCTGGTGTGCCCATTTTCTGTCTCGATATACACACATCCTTTTGAGAATTATCTCCTTTGACAACACAACCTGATTTAACCCTCATTAAACAAAGAGAAGATTTGTAGAGCTGCATCTAGGGAGTGTTGAAAACATAGTGAAAACCATCCTCCCATACTAATGCGTTCACCTCTTATT